AGAATAGAATAGAATAGAATAGAATAGAATAGAATAGAATAGAAATAGAATGTAATTAGAATCAGAATAGAATATTGGAATGAATAGAATAGAAATAGAATAGAATTTAGAATAGAATAAGAATAAGAATAAGAATAAGAATAAGAATAGAATAGAATAGAATAGAATAGAATAGAATAGATTGGAATAGAATTCTTTCTTGGCCAAGTGTGATTGGACACACAAGGAACTTGTCTTGGTGCAAATGCTCTCAGTGTACATGAAAGAAAAGATACATTTGCCAAGGGTCAGTTCAAAGCTGCAGTGACTGATTGACATGCCATCAAGTCCTTGTTGATTCTTGAAAAGACAGGTAAAATATTCTCCAGGTCTTTTCTGGTCTTCTAACGGCATTGCAATCTATATCTGTGCCTTCCCTCCATGTCTCTCAGCAATAGAGCTGCTCCAGAGAGCCAGCTCTTCACAGAAATGTGCCCCGAGTTGGATAATTTGAGCCATCCCGGACTGACAGCCCCGGGCCAATTTGTTGCGTGACCCATTGGTTTGCTTTCTTGGCCCTCCGAGTTGAGTTCTCTTCTCCAACACCAAATTTTAAGGCAGGAGAGTCACCAGTCTCCTCTTTTAAAGTCTAACTCTTCCCTTCCACAGGATTCGTTTCCGTGGAAATTTGCTCACAGCAATGAGGTTGCTCTGACCTTTGTTTCCAGTTCTGCTTGGCGTTGAAGGACAATGAGCTTCACGGAGATGGCCCTCTTCGTGTCATTGTGTCGTGACTGAAATCTCCACCTCCAGGTTTTCCTCTCTTTTCCCCTTCGGTTTTTTCACACTAAAGTTCGGGCATATATGAGGTGTGTGTGTGTGTGTGTGTGTGTGTGTGTGTGTGTGTGTGTGTATGGTATTCAGCTTTGTTTGGGTATTTTCCCGTGTCATCATAGTTTAAAAGCACAACTATAATGACGTGGGAAAATACCCAAACAAAGCTGAATACCATACATGTAAGTACCTGCAAAAGCTTAAGAAAACAATATATATATATATATTCTGAGAAGCACAGAGCCAAAGACACAAGCCTGAAGATGATGAATGAGACTTCATCGAAACGTTGCCTAGATACCTCCAATCTTACGTGGGAGAAAACCCGAATAACCAAAGATCCACATACAAATACCCGCGAGAACCTCAGAAAACAAATATATATATATATAAATAAATATTTTTTGCAAAACCTGTGGACGTTTGCCAAGCAATTCTTCCCGAGAGTCATTCTTGCACGGATGGTTCTGCAGTGCACAAGTTCATTCGGATACAGTTAATCCTCCGCTTACGACCAGGATTGAGCCCAAACTTTATGCCGCTGAGTGTGATGTTCGTTGAGTGAGTCTTGACCTCATTTCACCACCTTTCTTGCCACCGTTGTTAAGTGAATCACCGCAGGGGTTAAATTAGTAACACGATTGTTAAGCGAATTGACTTCTCCCCTTGTCAGGTCGTGAAAGGGGATTTCCCGAGCCCAGGACTCTGCAACCATCATAAATATGAATCAAGTGTCTGAATTTTTATCATGTGACTGTGGGGATGCTACAACGGTCATAAGTGTGAAAAACAAGTCACTTTTTTCAGTGCTGTCGTAAGTTCAAGTATACTAAATGAATTGTTGTAAGGCAAGGACTCCCTGTAGAAACTCAGTAATGTTTGGGCCGTGTGCATCATCCCTGCTGCTAATGCTCAGCAGCCTCTACATACCAATTGGGAATTTTTTCTTTCCCTGCACCTCCGTCTCCCAAGTTGTCTGCCTGTTGCAGAAGCCGGTCAGGCTTCTCCAGAGCTGTCCTGCTCCAGAAATGCTCCCTAAGCAGGCTTATCTGCAGCGGGGACCGAGGCTAAATTGGGAGCAACTGCACCGCAGCATCTTGGGCGTAGAATCTCGCTCCAGTCAGCAATTTTATCATGGATGATTCATGCTTTTTCCAGCCATGCCTTTCCTCTCTCGCTGTGGCAGACACAGGTCCATCTGTTCAGGATTCTCCCCTTCAGGGGAAGTTCATAATTGTATGTGTGCGATAACAAGGCCTGAGTTACAGAAACCAAGTTGAAAACCAGACCCCGTTCCCTGCACCGCCGCATTCTCCCTCTGGCGGCTTCTTCCTGCACTGCCACCATTCCTGTGAAAAGTCCCTCCGGGCCAGGACTCCCTTGCGATGTCATTTCTGAGCTGGCCCTTGAGAAAGGGAAGGGTCAGGTTTAAAGAAATCCAACCACTACCACCCCCAGTGCCAAGCCAGCGTTACCAATCGGC